TTCATCAAGATTAATTACTTCTAACGGTCGAACTAAATTTATGTGTGGCATGCCGATGAGCATTCGTGGAATAGCATTCTCATAATCATCAACTGAAATATCATTTGATATCTTGTATTTCAATTTGAAACTTTCAAAATTTAATGTCTGCGCTGGTAATTCATAATATTTACGGACGAAACAAAAATAATTCGCTTTAGACCTGATGGTAAGACTTGTTTACATTGCGAGAAAAATGAAGAAATCAATTCCAGATAGATAAAAAAGAAAACGGTGAAGCACGTTAGAGGGAATTGAAAAGTTTGGAGATCTTTTTCGTGGAACTGTGTTGGACCATTGGTTAAGATAGAACGAAATATGGAGAAATTTGCATATCTTCAAATACTTATAACAAGTAAGGGTAACTCAACAAAATATTAATCAGATAAATAAAATCACCAATCGATTTCACTCCATTCTTTAAAAATATTTAGTTTTTCTTACAGATCAATGAAAGTGCGTTAAATGCTTTTGCAAAGTAAACTGTGACCAAATCAGCATTACTGAATCTCACTTAATATTTTAAAATGATAATTCATCTAAATTAATTTATTTCAGAGTCTAATGAATTGATAAATAAATTTTATACAGCATAATGACTTTGCTCTTATTAAATATATCAAATAAAATGCAAATCGTAGGCTTTCTGTTTAACATATGTACATATGTATATTTTTGTTATTCAAGTGTATTTTTCAAAACAACCAAAACCATAAACTAAATTCAACTCGGTCGTGTAAAAATAATATAAACATAACAACTTAACTAAACTGAATACAAAAAAGCTCGAATTTAAAAAGAAACAAAATTTTCTTAATATTTGGTCGGAGAGCCTTTATTTTTTATGATAGCATTCAGTCTTTTAGGCAAAGATTCAACTAGATTCTTCCAAAATAGCGGCTTCTAGGTCTTTCTTATTTATAATAATATGCATTTTCAGTTTATTTTCCAAATGAGCTCACAGATGTTCAATTACGTTAATGTCGGGAGATTGAGGAGGTGTTTCAAGCACTTCAGGACAGTTATACATCAACCATAGACGGACATCAAGTGCTTTATGCTTGGGTTAAGACAACGGTAGTACTGGAAATTGGCTTTAATTCCCAACTTTTCCGCACTTTGCACTAAAAAAGATTTGAAATGCCTGTGCTTTATGAAACACAAATTTCCAGTACCAGTTGCGGACATACAACCCCATAGCGTTACTGATCCGCCCCCGTATTTAACAGTCGGACGCAAATTCTTTTCTAGCAACTTTTCATTCTGTTTTCTCCAAACATACGACTGTCCATCTGACCTAAATATATTAAATTTGCTTTCATCTGCAACTAAAACTTGTTTCCAGAATTGAAAATCCTTATCCCCATGACATTTTGCAAATTTTATCCTTTTGTTTCTGTTAACCTCTTTATAAATGGTTTCTTCCCTGCTATTCTTCCATTATAATTATTTTTTCGTAAGAAAAGCGCTCATGTCTAAATTTTTTTTATTTGCTGCTCTATCCACCGCTCAACTGCAGCCGAAAACAACTTCGCTCGTCCAGACTTCATTTTGTTTTCCACGTATTTTGTTTGTTTGAATGGTCGAGCGGGGTCTGCTCAATTTCTGCGATTTCCCGAATGGTTTTTCCCATTTCAAAATAACTTATAATTAACTTCCTTACTTCAATTGAACTTTGTCCACGCTGTCTACCCATGTTTAAGCTTTTCAACATTTATTTCCGAAAAAATTACTTAAATTTTATTTTAAGCTATTACGTTTGATTATATCCATATGTATTTTTAAGCAAAAACAAAATAATTGTGGAATTCTCCTTTTAGAAATGCCCAGCAACTGTAATATTACCAGATGTCCGACTTCTTTTTCCTTAATTTCTGAAGTAAGGGTATAGGAGACCTATAAACTATTTGATGTGTTTGTTATAGAAACATAAGAGGAATAAATGTACGAGTCCTTTATTAAGCCACTGCATATTTCAATAATCTTTTATATTTTTTGATGATTAGCATATTTTCTTGCTTTCATATTCAAATGAGCAATGAGTTGTTGTTAGTTGATTGTTTTTAGGTTTTTAAAATTTTGTTTTCTTTTAAATATTGTAGTTTAATTTTTTAATACTCTCAACAATAGAAAATAGTCATTATTGAATGCGTCATCAACAAATCTATCGTGCAAAAAATGTTCGGACGTCTACGAACACATGGGGTTGGGGATACATGCGCACGATTTCGATTACCTTTTGTGTGTACGCCCATGTCTACCTGCGTCCGCGTCTATCTTCAAACTTCTGACTGGGCGTGCGCCTGAGCTCAACCATCTATACCAACCTATCAACAAAACTTCCACCTGTACATAAGTATATAACACTACACAATTACAAGAACCTATACTACCATATCTATCACTGCTGTTCAATTCAAATATTACCGATCTAGATTTCTCCGCCTCTATTTCTTTTATCCACCTAACATTCGAATTCAATACTGTTGTAATCTCGTTTCATATGAACATATGTTGGACACAATTAGATACGCGTGGTCAACGCTTTTCGTCAAGGACTAGATGGCCGTTATGGTGAGCACACCAATACTTCGTTGGCTGAAGTACTACGAAAGCAATCATCATATAGCCAACGACTCTGGGATACTTCATCCATCGAATATGTTTATAATATTCCAGAAGAGCTGACGATACCCGAGTTCGATGTTGAGCGACTCTCATCGCATCGCATCGCACTGCTGTCTAAAGGTAGCAAAAACTACAAAATTACATCAAACATAGCAAAATATTCGTTGTACACATATGGACATATATGGACGATGGAAATGTAGAAAGCGAGTAAAGAAATAACACAAGCAGCAGCAAGATCAACATCCATCGACAGTATCATTAGCAGTAATGGCAATACAAATAATAATAGCAAACCAAGTAACCCAATATCAATAATAAAAATAGAAAAATTCAAAGTGTGCGGAGTGGCAAGCTCAACATAAATTGATAATATAAGAACTTTGAGCCAATTAAACAAAAGTTATCTATCTAGAAGGTAACACATACTGAAAGAATGTTCATAAATACATAATAACATATGTATGAAAATACCTGATACGATGGCAGCAGAATATAAAAATATAAAGTAAAACAATTTGACTTAGTTCAGAGATCAAATATATATTCAACAGCTTGCGCTCAAAGTTACAAACAGAAGAGGAATGAAAAAGTAATACAAAAGAAAAAGGAAAAATAATAACTATATAATGACAAGTAAATAGAGATGCCATATTGATATGCATATTGTAACAAGGAAAGTATATAAAGTAAAAGTATATAAGTAAATGTCGAGTAGCTACAGATTCACGAACGAAATGATGCTTTATATCTATGTGTTTTGTTCGAGCATGAAACGATCCCGTAGTTCGCCAAATATTCTGCTCCTTTATTATCGACAAAAACCTTAATATCGTTAAACATTTGTAAGCCCAGCTCACATAAAAGACTTCACAAGTAGATCGTTTCTTTAGCTGCTTCTGCCACACAATCGTATTCTGCTTCAGTCGAAGATAACGCAACAGTTTGTTGCTTTTGCGATTTCCAAGTTATCGCTACTCCACTTAGTAAATCATCGACAAAGACCAGCAACAAACAAAATTGTTTATTAACTTTGCCATAATATAAACATGGCTCATTTTTCATGGGCTTTAATCCCATTTCGGATAACTTCGTGCTGAGCTTGATATACCATTGACGGCCAGACTGCTTATGGCCATATAATGCTCTCTTCAACTTACACATGTTTCCGCCACTACGCAAGTATTCTATCATCTTCTTTGCACGTAAAACCACAATATAATTTCCACCTCGTTTCGAAACAATACAGCTTTGCATTTAAGGAAACATATCAGGAACTTTCATTAAAACTTCTTCCTCAAGGAAACCATTGAGGTATGCTATCACAACATCAAATTGCCACACTGTAAGTTCAAAGTGTACTGCCAACGGCAAAAAAAATCTAACTGTATCTAACCTTGCTACTGGTGAAAATGTTTGACTATAATTTATTCCATACTTTTGGCTATACCATTTAGCCACAAGCCTTACGCCGCTCAATCTTACCTTCAGAATCATATTTATTAGCGAGTACAAATCGGCAACCAAAAATATTTTTATGGTTATCAGCCTTGATAATATCAAACGTGTCATTTTTAATCAGGCTCATTATCTCGGATTCGATAGCATTTTTCCACTCATCACTATCAGGACCATTTAAAGCAAGCCGCGTATCATTTTCAGCTATGCCCGAAAATACGTCACTGTGTGATAAAGCAATAAATCATTTGACAAGTAATTTCTTATTGATTGTTTGTGGTCGGCTTCTAAAAACTTAACATCTCGAGCACATATAATCTGATGGGAGCTAGGCACCCATATTCAATAATCTTTTCTATATCGAGGATAACCTACAAATATACCCTCTGTAGCTCTTGGTGATAGTTTGATTTTACTTGGATCCTTATTCAGCACCATCTTTTGATCCAAAAATCTTCAAATAATTTAAATCAGGACTATTACCGTAGAACTTCTCGTAAGGTGTCTTCCATTGAATACTGCTTGACGGACATTTGTTGCGAATGAAACACGAAGTAGCTACAGCTTCCGACCAAAAAGATGTGCCTAAACCAGACTTCTGCAGCAGGCAGCGAGCCATATCCATCAATGTTCGGTTCATCCTTTCTGCCAACCCGTTCTGCTCTGGAGTTCGAGGTACACTAAGTCTTTTCAAAATTCCATGATCTGCAAGGTATTGATTAAAGTCATTATTGCAATACTCACGTCCATTATCAGATTGTAAACATATCATCTTCTGGCCTTTTTGTCTTTCAAAGCCTGTTTGATATAATTTAAAAGCAGTAAAAACATCAGATTTTTGACGCAAAAAGTATACCTGACACCATCTGAAGCACTCATCTATAAAGATAACAAAATACTTTGATCGTTCAATAGATTCCTATCTAAAAGGACCAACGACATCCGAGTGTACAACTTTCAAAATAGTTCTCTACATGGTTCGCGAACGCTTTAAATGGTCACATTTTGAGAATTCCTCAGTTTCGCTGAATTTAATCGAAGGTAATACGCCGTTACGAAGAATTCTGAATGAATCTTTCGCATTCAAGTGACCAAGCCGACAATGCCATTTGAATACATCGGAACACTTTTCTTGTACAATGCCACATTCGCTGTTTTCACGCAAACAATACAAGTCACCCCTTCGATCTGCGATAAAAGTAATTTTGCCGCTTGCATCATTAACAAATGTCTCAGTTTTATAAAAAGCTACTGTATGTCCTTTATCTGTAATTTTCGCAACAGAAATTAGATTCGTTCGTAAATCCGGCACAAATAAAGTATTCTTGAACTCAATTTGTCTTTCACCCATACCACCAGCTACTCGAAGTTGAACAGTACCCTTGCCTTTTACATCTGCGCAAGCCTGACTGGCAAGGTTTAATTTTGCCTTATATGAGTTACTAATACATAAAAAATTCGAGGAATCACCACATAAATGCGCCGTACATCCGCTGTCAAGAACTCACGCATGTTTCGCATGCTGACTACTCCAGCCGAATAACATACTGCATACCATTCATCAATCTCGTGGTTAGACTGCATCCCACTATTACCAATTTCTCCTTTTCGAGACTTACAAGAATTGACTTTGCGACCAGGTGCGCCACACTTAAAACATCTAAAAATACCTTTTGAAAACTTTTTATCATTATTCTTCAAATATATATATATATATTTGCTGTACTCGCCCGATTACCAGCCGCCATAGCAATAACAGCACCACCAGAACTTTGTTTGCGTGCTTCACTCTCTTCTATAATTTTAGGTTTTCATACGTCAGCCGTGGGCAACACATCTCGTGACTCAATAGCACACCGCAAAATGCTCATAAGATGACGGAAGGCTGTACAAAAGCATAATGGACAATAAGTCACCATTAGTCGGAACACTCATGTTCTCTAATTTATCTACTGCATCAAAAAATATAGCAATCTGCTCTTTCACATTACCACCTTAATCGAGTTTTTGTAGCATGAGTTGTTTCAAAATGTTGGTATTGTGCGCCGGTCCCTTCGATGCATAAATCGACTCCAATTTAAGCCATACTTCACGGGATGTATCGCAGCCACAGATTTGATTCAGCTCAGATGGTTGAATTGATAAAATCAAGTCCGCTTTAGCCTTTTTGTCAGACTTCAGCCATGCACTCCTTCCATCACCATTCGGCGGCATCACATATGTGCCATTAACATAATCCCATAGTTCATTTTTGGTGAAAAGCGCCTCTACTTGGATACTCCAGGAATCAAAATTCTCTTTTGATAAGAGCTCAATTCTCGATGAGCTAATTATAGAATTACCAACCATTTCCATTTTATCCGCACGTTTTTCCACGCTGATGTAATTCTTTTCCTTTGTATCTGCTTCGTCACTGCTATCACTCATAATATGCAGGTAATAATCTCATCTTTAATATTTTGAGCAGCTGGGCCCATAACCTGATACGATGACAGCAGAACTCCCAAATATAAAGTAAAACAATTTGACTTAGTTCAGAGATCAAATATATATTCAACAGCTTGCGCTCAAAGTTACAAACAGAAGAGGAATGAAAAAGTAATACAAAAGAAAAAGGAAAAATAATAACTATATAATGACAAGTAAATAGAGATGCTATATTGACATGCATATTGTAATAAGGAAAGTATATGAAGTAAATATTTTCAACAATACCTATATTATTTAAAAATTTTTTTTTTTGAAAATGTGCATGCGGTTGTTTAACTAGAACACAGACCAACCCCTCCAAATGTATTTATGACATGAAAAAAAAGCTCCTCATAAAAAACCATCAGCCATACCGAGACGGCTTAGTATGTGGGTCCCATCAAGACGCAAAACTACAAATTTGAGGAGGAGCTAGGCCGAAAATCGTATCAGCGGTAACAAAGCGCCAATTGTATGTATAGCTGTACAAATTTCTCTTTTCATAAAACAATTAAGGTGGTACCCATGCGAACTTGGCAAAATATAATATATATTTCCACAATTGTTTTCTTAAGGACAGTAAGTAATCACCAGAAGCAAGAAAACTGGAAAATAAAATAAATCCACACTGTTCCCCTATGAGTTTATTGAATTGCATTCCCAAGAACTATTGCTAACTTCGCGTTTTAGGATACAAAGTACTTTGGCCTAGTATTGCGTATACAAAGTAATTGAAACTAAAGCATTCCATACAGGACGTCGAACTGCTCAGGCGGCAATCTAATATTTTGAAAGTCCGTGTCGAATCTTCGTTAAGTATTCATTTCTTGAACAAGTGCTGACTCTAGACCGAGGATATTACCGAGATTTTTTTTTGCAGTAGACTTAGTTTTTATATCTATCTAGCTTTGCTTTGAGAAACACAAACACATATGATTCGTAAATTTAAATACATATAAATATATTTTTTACACTTCCCTCCCCAAATTATATTTACTTTGTTGTTATCCACCAGCTGATTGCGGTAATGTTGCCTATATTAGCAAAGTACGTTTCTACTACAATTTTTGTGAAAGTAATTATTTGCCATTGTTTACTTGGCAATAAACTTAAGAACGTCATATAGGCCTTTAGTAAAAACAACGCCGAATGCTGTGACTACCCAATTTACATTAGTCCCAGCCGTTCCATCCAACTGGATGTTGGAAATGCATATAGCTATCGCCGCTGGCTACAGCAATGGAATGTTGCCAGCTAAAAGTGTGCTTGCATACTTTTAAGCAATCTTATGATTTTCGTTTACGTATATCATATTTATATGTTCGTATATCAACGCCAATCTATATATATGATCTATATGGTTGTAAATAATTAATAACGACATCTGTTTTAATTTATTTTGAAAAACTATGCACTTTCTTAGTTTAATTAATATTCGATTATAAAGTTACTGTTGGCAACTTGGTAAAACGGAATAAATCAAATTGCTGCTGGTTTCTGCACTAACGGCATCGGCATGTGGTTACAATTTTTCACTTACATGACGCTCTCATAATATAGGTTAGTATGGCTGGGAAGCATGTAAAATGGGTAGTTCCAGCATAAAATGAATATCTATTGTGTTTTGTTGTTAGTTTATTTCTTTACCCATCTTCTTTTATTTGACGGATTCCCCATATCGATTTTAAAAGCATTAAACTCAGCAGGGTGTGTTAAAAATACTAGCATGAAAAAATACCAGTTGCTAACTTGAGTCCAATGGGTATTTTTAACACGGTAATGTCCTCATGCTGACAATTTTCCGATTATGTATCAGCTTCATACTAGTCGTACACCAGGCATGTGCAATTTCTACTTCACCAAAAAAATTAAAATGAGTTCGCTTGCTGTGAGGATCCCACCACAGTGACTGCGTTATTATCGTTAGGATGTAGAGAGTAACTAAATCTGCGCAGTTCAGCAAAACTTATTAGGATGAAGCTCAGCCATAGCGTACTGAAAATAACAACAATATACGAAAAGCGAGATGGTAAATATGTCTGCTTCACTAAAATTAAAATAAAATGATAAATTAATTTGCCTCTGTTGAGACTCGAACAGTGGGCTCAATACGCTGTAGCCATAACCCCTATTGAGTCGGCTATAGTGACCATTTAGCGATCAACGTCAACAACAAGAAGCGATGGCGGAAATTATTATTTCTCCCATTTTTGACAGTTCAACAAATAAGCAACTGATAGGATTTTATCTCTAAAATACTAATATTAACTATTTTTACCGAAAACATCTTTGGTATGTTTGCTTGGGTCCATTGTTTCTTTTAAGTTATTTCACTTGGTAACCAATTATAGTTAAGGAAGTGGTTACATTACACTGTTCTATAAAAATGATAGAACACGAAGTTGTCATACGTCCGCGTTACAATAGGAAAGCAACGCAAAAAAAGTGGTTGTGTTTGATAATTTTTATGTATTGCATATGAGCTCTGTGAGAGTTATACATCATGAACATTTGCATGGAAGTTCAATTGACTACAAGTAATTCTCTTCAAACCTGCTATATATGTACATACATATGTACGAACTTACTATGTTTCGAATTAATTTGGTAGCAAAACTAAAAAATTCGCTACTATACAATCCTTAAATACATGGGACATTTTTATCTTTTTTAAAACGGAGGAAAGGTGGCACCACAGCTTAACAAAACGTCAGAATATGTGAAGAGCACAATAATGAAGGACGAAAACAAATAAGTTCGTTACAGCAATTATTTTAATTAAATGAACTGCAATGTATTAGCTTATCAAATCAAAAATATGCAATGATTCCATTTCAAAGCTGCGCTGCATGACTCTTCGCTCTGTAGAGGAGCTCCAAATGAAAGAATCGTTTCGCCCTCCCGAGTATTTAGCGTTTACCACCAAATTCATGAGATAGGGAACACATATCTATGTATTGATAGAATAGTATCCATGGTAGTCGGCATATCTTCTTTCCAATGGTGAAGGGTACGATACCTCCTCAGCTTGGGATCAAACGTATGCCAAATAGCTAAAAGCCATTATTTATTATATTACTTATGCAATTTTTCGATTTAATTTACTTTACTTTAACCTTATTGAAATATTAATATTTTGTCGATGACGATAAAAACTTCAAAATATATGTCGCTTAGTTAGGGATTAGTTCAGTAGTAACAACAGCTAATTAAACGATAGCTAATATCGTTAACATAAATACACAGAATTTTAGAATCGTTAGATCTACGGTTAAGTTATTTTTGCGATCCGAAAACCGTCATAGTTTGTTAAGCGAATAACAAATATTGTTAAAGTTATCGCTATGTTAAATTTACGATCACAAAATCGTTATATTGTGATTAGCAAATATCGCTAAATCATTTTTACGATCCGAAAATCGTTTAACGTCCATAGAGAATAGCAAATATTGTCAAAAATATAGCTAAGTTACTAAAGCAATCCGAAAATCGTTATTATTATATAATAACGAGGATTGCCTTACTGAGTTCTTTAAGTCTGAGTTGACACAGGGATACTCTTTGTCTTAAAACATTCATGCCGGCACTGCATTTAATACAATATAACCCGCCCATAGGCGATTGCGCTTAAAGCTTTTCGTTCTATATATATATTGTATTAAAATTTTTATTAAAATTTATTAATGCTTTAAATGAAAATTTAAAATAAATTTTTAGTGGCGCACACTACTTGGTGGTACAATCATGTGCGAGCCACTGGTGGTACGTGCCGCCTGATCAGGCAGACATATGCGAGTCACCGGTGGTACGCGCCGGCGTGAACGTGTTAAACATATAAGTTATTGCTCTTGGTCCAAATTATAACACGCTCCCTCTGGTTGCAAATCGAACTAACTTTATTTATTTCAACTTTGCCTTTTATACTAATTCCATGTTTACATATTAACTTACATATTAACTTAATACTACATTGCTTATACAGCGATAATTGTTACTTACTAGCTCAAACAATAATTCTTAATAAGCTATTGTTGTTGTTATGTTATTGTGCCAATATTCAGTATGTGTTTACATTGC